CTCAAAACTGCTTTTCCAGAAATACAGTACCTACATCAACAAATGATCACTTATAACATCCTTTCGACCATCCTTATCAGTATTCTCCTATCCTAGTATTCACAATTTAGAAAAAAGTTTTATAAAATACGAACTTGCTCTGTAATAGTTATTCTACTATGACAAACAGTCTAGTGTGTTTGAGATTAGCAATTCCAAACTCCTTCAGGAAGACTGAGATTTAACAAGTAAAACACAAGTTCCTCTCTTTTCCTCTCCTTTCCCTTCTCTCCTCTCCTTTCCTCTCCTCTCCTTTTCCCATCTACTAGTTTATTACTCCTGTTTTTACAATTTTTGTTGTTACTTTTCAATCAAATTTATTTTAAGATGACTTCTCACTCTCCAGTACATCAAAACACACACACACACAAAAAGCAAAGTCAGCATTCAACAGCATAATAAACATCTTTATTCCATTTATTAAGCGTACTCTCCCTCAGTGTTTATCAAATCTTCTTATTCTCCTGGGGACAATGAATTTTTGTAACTACATAGTTGTCCATACTCTTACATCATGTAGATCCAATTTGGCTTTGGGTATCTTTTCCTTTATTTACATATTCCATTCTATTAATCAAAAAAACTTTTCAAAGTATTTTTAAACAAGTACTCTTAGGGAACTAAAAGTTTCTGCACACACACTAAAGGCCAAATTATGATTAATTCAAATGATCATATTTAGGGATTAAATCCAGTGGTGTAAGTGGGACATGTCTAAGAAATCCATGAATGATAGCAGAATTTATCTTTTAATGTTTGTGTAAAAAAAGGTCTGCAATCCATTTACAGCCATCAATAGAATGAGTATTAACTGAATAAATTGTGTCATAAATATGGCAAAAAGATTTAAGTGTGTAAGGAGTTCATTTAGAACTTACTAGTTCATTTTATTTCATTGTACATAGCCCATAAATATTTTGTTCTTTCAATAAGATTGTTAGTACTAGTGTATCTGCAAGTAATTAGTAGTTGCAAAGGTGCAAAAGCAGAGAAGCTTTGGAAAGGCACGCAAAATGCCTTGCAAAAGCCAGATTACAACTAAAATCTAAACTAAAATGACAACCTGTAACATTTTATTCAAACTATTTTTTCAAATCTGTAACATTTTATTAAAAAATTGATTTATTACTTCTTTAGTTAAAATCACCCTTCAGAAGGTCCTTAGAACTTATCTGAGCAAGATCATCTTACTTGGAAGAGGAAGGCATACCCTTGACGGCTACATATTAAAAATTGACCTTCTGTTTCTAAGCTACAAGAATCACATGAATTTTGCATAAGTAGCATAATTTAAGCCGCTAGCATACAACAGTATGATTGAATGAGGAGTTCCAAATTTGCTACAGACAAAAAATCCAACATTTGAATTCAGACAATTCAAATGTACAGGGATTCATTTAAGAAGCTGAGATAATATTCATTAAAGTGATTTACCCTACGAGTTCTTTAGCAGATAGAACTCATCATGGGTTGCTGACTTCAAATAATAAATATGAAATATCTGTGAATTACAGCAGTGGTCTTCTCATGGTACTCTGGTCTTACCAAATCAGAAAAGTTTGAGAGAGATCTCAAAGCAATACACATTAAGTTTCACTAACAAGAGTTTTTTGTACCTTAACAGTTCATATTTTCTACTGAAACTAACACTATATGACATAAGGGACTTCTTCACAGGACAAGGATGAGAAGAATCATCCATGGGAAAGTCTGGAGTAAGGAAGGCTTACTTCAGTAGAGGAGGATCAGGCTAGGGACTATTTAACAAGAACGGACATACAGTCCCTGAAACCTGTAGGATGCACCCACAGGACTGAGAGATCTCAATGGACATTGAGATAGACCAACAAATGTCTAAGCTGCCAGACTTAGGTGGTTGCAATCAATAGCAAGAAGAGGAGTCTCTAGAGGAATACCCAAGGGATTGATACTGGGACAATGTTGCTTAGTGCTTTCATTAATAACCTGCATGATGGGCCTGACAACAAGTTCAGAAAGTGCGTAGAGAACAAAACTGGGGCAAGTGATTGATACCCCAGACGACTGTGCACCTAGACAACAGGATGGAACAATGGTCAAACGGGAACCTTATGAAGGTGAAAAAAGAGAAATGCCAAGCCCTTCATCTAGGAGGTATACACCAGTCCAGGTTTGGGAATGGCAAGCTGGAAAGCTGCTTGGCAGAAAAGCCAAGCTTGGCCCTGAGATGATGGAGGACACTAAATTCAACATCAGCTTCACTGTGCCTCTGTAGCAAAGATAGCCACATGAGGAAAAGCACTCACAACAACTCAAGGTGGTGATTATTCCTTTCTGTTTAGCATTAGTATCTGGGCTGTTGTATCCAGTTTCAGAGCCCAAGACAAGAAAATATGGGCATACTGGAGCACATCTAGTGAAGGGCAATGAAGTTGATTAACAGATTAGATCATATGTCATATGAAGGGAGACTCAGAAACTACATTGCTTCGCCTTAAGAACAGAAGATTCAGGTCAGCACTAGCTGACCCCAATTTGAACAAGGCTTTGGGCCTTAGTGAGCTCCAGAGGTCTCTTCCAGTTATTCTGTGATTCTCTGATTCCATGCTCATTTCCTTCTTTTCTGCCAGGATTAATATTCACTGAACACTTTTTAAATGCCTTATGCTTTCTTTCCAGTGCATCATCTCACAAATAGCTTTATGAGTAGAGATAGAGTATCACTGTGGCACCGAAGACCACTCATCAGAAAGGAACACCAGGGACCAAGAAGCATACAGAAGTAAGTAATAACCTAAAACCTACTGTAGAACTTAAGCAACTGTGTTATCCATATTTTCCTGAATGTTGTACTAATAACATACTCAAAATATTTCCTCAACAACTTAATTATGTTGAAGGTGAGATAGGTATCAGCAAACACTGAGGAAAGATCTGTTTGGTGTCAGCCATCACATTCTTTAAGAGAAAGTGTTTCCTTTCCCCTGGTAGAACTATAGATTGAGATTTTACAATATGAATGTTAATATTATACTACTGTGCTAATTTGGTATCGAACTGTTCAGTCTTGCTTTTTTTGTTTTGCATCATTTTATAGGGAATATCTTTGACCTTCAAAAAAGGTGACATACAAGATGCATATTTCTATGTTTTTTTCTTTCAAGTTTCCATGGGAATGGAAGTATGAACGTCTTAAATTTGTTCTTCTACACCTGCTGTTCCACAGCTAGATTTACCTAATACTAGCAGAATTTTCCTTTACTTCTATAGATATATTAAATTGGAATCTGTTCAACATGAAACCTATACTGAGAATAAGTCCTTCTCCTAGCCAGACTAGCCTTCAAATAGTATAATAGACTCCAGAAATGGTCATTTTACAGTCTGAATGAAAAATACCTCTTACAGACAACCATCTTTCTTGTAAGTTCAGCAGTCCTTTAAGGTGGGCTTCATTGAGAATACTGGAAGACATCATTGCTTAGTATTTCAAACAAGTTTGGCAAAATTGTTCATGATATTTCTTACTATATTCCAATGCATTTAGCTAGCCCAAATGTGGAAAACTGACTGGCCTAAGATGAACTATTGCCTGTTTGTGTTTTCAGGTCTAAACGGGTTTCTTCAAGCAGTGAGGCAATCATGAGTTAAGCAAATTAAAGCACTTTTGCTATCAAGTCACATGAATCTCTGGATTCCTAATGGAAACATAGGAAATCAGCTATTTTGCATTGTATAGTCTAAATGAAGAGTCACAAAAGTGACCAACTTTGAAACCATGTGCCATTTATATCTTAAAAAGAAAACAAAGGCAACCAGAAAAGAAGAATAAGAAAATCAAGATACAGACAGCAAACTTCTTAATAGTAAATATTTGTAAGAATAGCTGGGAAAATATTTACATCCATACATCATTATCAATTTTATTTAATTTTCAACTTTAGTTCTACATAACTAAATAAGGCAGTAATCACCACGGCACCATCTTTTCTCTAGTATGTCATATAAACGCTGTCAACAATGTAAGTCAAATTGTCACACAGTGTTATTAAATGGTACTTCAGGACATTCATACTCTCAAACATACTTACATGATTTTAGGAAAAAAGGGAAAGACATACACATTTTAAATGTCACTGTTTCTTCAAGTCCTACAGGAAAATGTATATCCTGCGTTGTACATTCAAAGTAAGTATTTTTGATAGTAACTCACTGCAATGGTAGCTTTCACATAAACGGTGAGACTTTTGGATCTCTAGGAGAAGGTGTAAAGAGAATAGGTCCAGATTTTGAATGGTGCCCAGCAACAAAAGAGGAAACAGCAAAAACTGAAATGTAGTAAATAACATCTGAATATGAGGAAAAATTTGTTGACTGTGAGAGTGACAAATCACTGACAGAGGTTGCCCAGAGAGGCAGTGAAGTCTCTTTCTCTGGAAATGTTCAAAACCCACCTGGATGAGATCCCTTGCAACATGCTGTACCTGACCCTGCTTGAGCAGGAGGGTTGGACCAGCTGATCTCCAGCTTCCCTTCCAACCTCAACCATTCTGTGGTTCAACTGGTCGAAACAGGAGTATTTTCTTTGACGTTCATTTAGTAGTGAATTAGCTCTTTACCTGTTTTAATTTCCATGACTTTCATAAGAAGAGTGATCAGACTATGTTGTAAACTATTATTTCCTATGAAAAAGATTTCTGTTATTTGGAAAAGAAATGACCAGTCAGTGGCTTTACTCTCAAGAGGATTTGACATTAATTTCCCTTTCAGACTGAATTTAATTAAGCAAAGGCTAGGCACCTTATTCTGGATGAATCAAATGTCTTTGAAACTTATTAAAAGAATGAAGCACATAAAGACTGTGAAAATTGGAAGCCTTTATGAAAAGACTTCATAATTTTGGAATTGTTATACATTATAGATCAAGGAGACAACTGACCAATGTTAGAATTAAGGTGGTATAAGTGAATGTTTTGTCTTACTTGTCAAGGGCTGTGCTGGTAGGCATGCTCCTCCCAAATCCTCGAACGCCCATCTGACGGAAGTATGGAATGCAAGACAGATTGGCAGCAATAATTGCCAACGAATCAGATGCATTAACAAAGAAACCATTTTGGCCAAGGATCATGTAGCGGTCCTGGAGACAAGAAATTCAAAAAAGGATCTGAAATCTTATGTTTTGGACAGAGTTATTTATGCAAAACGGACATGAAATAGGAGGACATTTCTGTTTCCTAACAGTAGAAAACAGCTTCTGTTCCTCATAACCTTTTCATTATTTTCACCCTCTTGTCAGGTCGGAAAGTTATCTCTGTTGTGCCTTGCTGTCTATAATGCAAGTTACAAGACATAAACAAATAAATACAGAGTTTAATTCAGTACCTCATTTAGATTAAAAAAAAAAATTAGATGAACTTCACTCAATAACTACCTGCTGTGACTGATCTCCATCAGTTACATATGATGTCTTTTTTTTCTACCCGGGGAGGAGAGGCGTAATGGCAGTACAGAAAAAAAGATCACGTCCATGTTGAAAAAGAATTCTCATTCTGGATTTAAATCCTTGATCGATTTTAAATTTTGCAAGGACAAGTTATACCATATGTTATACCTGATTTATGGATACAACTGCTATCATCTGTTCATGAAAGCAGTATCACCCTCAGGATTGAGGGCTTACTGAAAAAATGAAGAACTGCATTTACATGTGCCATCTCTGAACTCAGACAAAACAACATCTATGGTAAAACCCCCAGACAACCCAAAATACTTACTCCATCAGCATCAAAAGCGGCACCAAATCCATACTCTCCACCTCTCATCGCCTCCAGCAAGGCAGCTGCATATGTTAAATTGGGATCAGGAGGCTGTCCACCAAAATCCTCCAGAGGAACACAGTTTATTGCAGAATTTGCAGGAGCTCCTAATTCATCACACAAGATTTTCCTCACATAAGGTCCCATAACTGCAAATAATAATAAAAGAAAAGATGTCATGCACTCATATATATGCTTAACATTCAGAGTTTTCACAGTGCCATAGAGACTTGAGGCAAAACATAACTTCTGTGATTCTATACATCAGTCCTAAAAATAAAATAAAAAATATTCCTAATAATTCATAAAATAAATATTCCTAAATATTCCAAAAACAAATAATATTGCTGATTCAGGTGAATGACCAACGGACTGAGTAATATTTCAGTAATATTCCCTCCAGTGCTACACATTACAACTGAAACAGTCCTGTCTGAATTGTTCCCCCTTCATATTTCAAGGGCACCATTTGACCTTCTGCCACAGCCTGGCATGGGGTGCTTACATCGACTTCATGCCCATTATAATCCTTTGAACAGTGGCTGTACTAGATAAAATGTATTTCAAAAGCTTATTATGTCCAAACAGTTCCCTATATCAGTCTGTGTAATCTCATTAAAGAGTGAAACCTGGTTTGTTTGATAACAATTGTTTTCCATAAAAAAAATGCTGATCATTATTCATATTCCTGTCCTTAAAATCTTTACATAGGGAAACATTTCTTCATTATTTTGCCCAAGAGCAATGTGAGACTTGCCTATATAGCCCCATGTGGCTTTTATTTTAACAGTCATATTTGAATATTGCCAAAAAATTAGTCCTCTTGCTGTTTCTATAATTATTTATTCCATTCTGTCTCCAGTACACTGAAAGTTATTACCAATTAACATGAGTGAAACAGTCACAGCCAACTCTTTAAAGACTCTGGGTGGAATCCTTTCAGACCTAGCAATCATACAGCATTTATCCTTAGAGGCTCTATAGCAACTTCTGGTTTACTACACACTGCAGCATACTCCATCATCTTTGCATGATAAGATGACCTCATCCTGCCTGCTTCCAAATGCCAAAAGAAAACATTTGTTGGACACATATGCCTTCACTTCTTTTTTATTTAGAAAGACCATTCCCTTTGTTTAATAAGGGTCCTAATCCATCAAGAAGATTAGTATAATGTTCAAATCTTTTCTTACTAGTTTTAATCATTCTACAAAACCTGAAGGTTGCATACTCTATCTTAATTGGGAAACTATTACAGGTCTTCACCTTTTCAATGATAAAAACATCTGCTAGCATAAAATTCTTGAAGGACTTTACTGTGTCAGATTACATGATTTTGTCCCGACAGTAATGTAAATTCATACCTCCATTCATGGCATCAATCCTTATCTTAATCTGGTTGGGTCCAGTCAGAAAATTTCTGATCATATTGAAGTCAAAGATACTTCGAAGGAGATTGAGGTAGATATCCACAGAATCAACAATTTCCACTAGAAAAATATAAGGTGCAAAATAAATAAATAAGTGCAGTACAGTTGGCACAAATCTCTCCTCAGGTGCTGTTAAACAACTTCCATGCCTCCACTGAAAACAGAGCACACAGCCTCTGAGTAACATAGATTTGTTCTGAAGCCACAAAGGCAAAGTAAAAAACTTCCACTGATTTTCAATTGAGTTTCTATCAAGTTTTAAGCCTTGCAAAGATCAAAAGTGTTTTGTCCACTACAGGACTTCAGGCTAACCTTGATGGACAGAACGCTTTCTTTGAAAACATTCAAAAAATCATACAACACCACAGTGAGCACTTTATCATTCACTAAATCACTGAGAAAGCTTTTCAGGCTAAATAGGCTTATTCTTGAAGGATAGAAAGTGTCTATGCTGAGACAAAACTGCAACTTCTATTCCTTCCTTTGACAGCAGTATCCATCTGCATAGCAGAGTCAGACAGAAATACTGCTTATTCTTGTTTTTTTGGCACCTGGAATGTCTGTTTCCAGTTTGTCATCAATCTACCATTAGACTTCTGTATTTTTTGCTGATTTAGAGAAGTTAAGTTCAAATACAACATCTGTTTTTTGCTAAGATCATGCCTGTTTGAATCATGAGTTTGTAGAGACAGCTATAATTTTTCTAGTTATGTTGGATATAAAACAGATAAAACTAAAATGTATTGGTGAAAGTCTGTCACAGTGAAAACAGTTACCAAAAAACTGTCAAAAGTATGGCTTTTCAGTCATCCTGGAACACTTTATGTGATTAAAGACCATATATTGCACAAATATCTCTCTAGTCAAATGAGTATCTTGAAATATTTTTAGTTTCAAGATAAATTATCATTTAAAATATCAGCCAGCTTTCCTCAGAAACGCTGACCTCACCTCTATGCTCGTCTTTAGGATAACATGAAAATGACACAGATATTTTTTATGCCTGAGACAAAAGCTTAGGATAGATTAGAAAATACATTTGAACTGAGCAGCAAAATCTATTTGAAAATGAGTTAACTCTACAATAAATGTTGAAAGTCTCAAAGATTCACTAAAATTACATTACTCCATGGCTTCTAAATCCTAACTCTGACAATGTCTATGCAGGCTCTCGTCTTTACACACATGAACAAAAGCCACAAATTCAGCAGTGGAGCTGCTCACACATGTTAAGATAAACAAAGTACAAGAAATAATTTCAGCTCCTGTGGAATCAAACTGGTTTATTTTCATGTGCTTCACTAAGTTTACCTGGGAGTCATACTGTCCATTCTGGGAAGAAATGGTGGGGAAATTATTAATATATAAAAAATATGCTATTTGGAGACATACTATTTTGGAAATACACTATTTGGAGAGATTAAAGAACTGAAAACAGAGATTTTTAAACTTAAAATTTTAACCTGTTCCATCCAGCTATTACTATGAAGGGGCATCCACAACTGAATTTACTTTGTTTTTGGTTTTAATCAAAGAAATCCCAAAGAACACGTTTTTCTCAGTAAAGAATAGAGTTTGTTTATCAACAAAACTGTATTTTCTTTCAAAAGATAAAGTTATGGTGGAAAATAAAACCAGCTTTAATTCTGGGATATCAAAAATGAGGAAGAGTTCCGAAGGGTACCTAGAATTCAACAGTATTTTAAATGCTGTCTTTTTTGGTTTGCTTTGTTTCTTTTTCCTTTTGATTCAGGACAAAAAGGCTGTGATCATTAGCTCACTTTAAATTGAATGTAAGCATAAATGTAATCTTAAACTGAGTGTAAGCTTAAAATTAAACATGTGCTTTAATCCTCCTTTTCTATTTGGAGTCACTGACATCTGCATCCCACAGCATTTCAGAAGGGAACTATTACCAAAGACTGAATGAGCTGAGAATCTCACTAAGTAATCTGTCAATTTGGTCAAACTGTTCCCAGTAAGAAAGTGCTTATGTTTGGTGTTTAACTACACTGGATCTAAGTACATACATCTGGCACAAGTATTTGGCTACATTTAAAGCCTGAGGCACTTCAGCTCCATGTGTCAGTATCATTGTGTGCAGAACAAATGCAATGCTTACCCCTACAGCACAGTGTTTTGATAAATGGTGGTAAGGCATCCTGAAGAATTAAAGGTCTTTTCAGACAATTAACTGCTATCATTTTGTAGTAAATCTAATAATCAGAACCAAGAGATTTACTATGCATAAAAGCACATATGGATACCTCGGAAAGGTTTGAATTTGTTCTCCAGATCAAATTCTTGTCTTCCTAGGCGAGATAAATCAACTCTAAGATCAGGACAAATGGCATATTCCTCCAAGGTTTTGCTGATTTGATAAATTTTTTCTGAAACAACATCTGGGGCAGGCCCTAGAAGACAAAAGATAGTGGGATCATTTTTAAACAAATGTTCTCTACAGTCAAAACAGTATATATGCTACAGTACTCACCTCTTAAGAATGTAACATAGCTATTAAAGAACAAGTTCAAAAGAGGAAATTATAGTAAAACATAGTGTCTTATCACAGCGAAATGCAGGTTTAATACATTTTTTGAAAAATGCAAAATGGAAATACTGTACATTATTCATCATTATAGTTCATAAAAGTATACAAATTATCTGCCAGCAAACCTCAATGTGCTCAACGTGTAGGTTAAAGAACACTAGTAATTTAGCAGCAGCTTTTGAGGCTTCGTAGGACTTTTTGTAAATGCACACATGTGAAACCAAGATATCTTTGTGTTTCATATAATTTCATTAAACATATATTATCAACAACAAAAAAAGTCTTAGTTAGACAGTGCTAATTTCCTGCAGCTTTCTTCCAGCAGCTTAAGAAAATACATGTTTGTTGGAATGCAAAATGCCCTAATTTCTTCCTGGAATAATTAGGTCAATCAGAAAGTAATTGACATCTTTGTTGTGTATTATTTTTATTAACAAATCCAGAAGATTGGCTATATTTGTTAAGACTTATATTTACTATATTCACTGACAGTCAAATAAAAGTTGCAACTTGAAGCAAAAAGTTATCTGATGAACTATATGTCATAGATTACATGAGAGCTGAGTCTTAATGACAACAGAAACATTTTTTGTTGCCATTTCTAACTTTGCCTTATTTAAACTAAAGCACACTTCCACGCTGTAAAATGGCTTATTGTGTTTTCTCTCAGACCCTAACCCAATTTCTCCCCTTTTTTTTTTCACTACTAACAGCCCACCACCTCCAGGAAAGCTGCTGTGCTCAGGGCAGTACTGCCCTGTAAATCAGGGTGCTTCCTCTCAAGCGCAGAGTATCACTTGGTCCAAGGCAACAGCATAAATAACAGCTTTTACGCAGCTACGCCAAGTCTGCCCAGGGAGTGAGGACAGGTTTCATCAGCTGTAAATCACTCCTGATAGATGGACGTCTTGCCTTGCAGCAGTATTTCTGGCTCAGGTGACCCTATAGCCTCCCCTGGCACCTTACTCTGGTGACTAACTGTCCTCACAGCCCTAAAGCTCCTCCTGATACTTAACATATATTTTCTCGGTTGCAATTGAAATCAACTACTTTCCACTATGCCCTTGCTGACTAGGGTAAATAATTGGTCCTTGTGATCCTTGAGGAGGGTTTTAGATTTAAAGTTTAATACCCTGTTTAGATTTTCTTTTAAAAGGCAAAATGCACAAAAAAAAAAAAAAAAAAAAAAAACCCACCAACTGTTTCCCATTTATCAAAAAGATTTTAGGTGGTATGTGGTGTTTTGAAGTCTATGAAGTGCTGTTGTACCTAATGGTTTGGACCTGGCCGTGGCTTTCTCTATGTCTGACCTTAAACATGCCCCTTAATCTTGCTGGGATCCAAGGCTGCTCTGTTTATAGAATTCCACTAGTTTAAACCTGCTCATTTTTCATTTAAGCAGTGGACTCTGCTGACACTGACCCCTTCTCAAGTTTTCCCATCTTCAAAATAAGGGACAAAACATCATTTTAAAAGTAATTGGAGATTTTCAAAGGGAAAGCATTCTACATATGAAAAGCACATGAGGTTTCAGCAATTGTCACCAAGATGTCTCCTACACAGGAAATCTGCAACATATAATAAACATGATGTATGACTTATCTCCAATGTTCTAATTCCCAAACTTCAGAAAGCCAGAAATCAGCTACACACACAAACTTCATTATGTAATGGAATTACTGTATTTAAACAGTACAACCTTCCCCTCAGAAAAGTGCAGTTATTTCCTGGGCAAACATACACATGCGAGGCACTTATATCCATTAGAGAAAAACGAGCTACGCTGCTTACAGTCCTTCAGAAATTACAAGCTCCAAAATAGATGCCAAGAGAAGCAACACAGAAACATGAGCAAAATAGGGTTCCATCACGGGCACCATTATAACAGAGAAAAACTGTTGCAATGCTCTGGTAGACTAAATAAAATGGTGTGAAAATAAGATGTCAAACCTCCTTTTAGTAGAAATCCCACTGAAACCACAAAGACCTCAATGAACATATAGTGATCACTGTAAATACACACATAAATTAAGACATTCCTAGTGGATAAAAAGGAAGATATGAGTATGTTCTTTATGGTAGTGATAGAATTACTTAAGAATTTATCTAGCTAAAATAATTTGCTATCCTCGTCAACATATTTTCATCATTCTGAGATGCAATGATGTAATATGTTGCTAAAATAACCCACCTCCATTGGCAACCTCGAACTTGACTCCAAACTCTCCTCCAGGTCCTCCAGGACTGTGACTAGCTGTTAGAATAATTCCACCAGCTGCTTTGATCTTTCGGATAATGCACGAGACAGCAGGTGTGGATAAAATACCATTCTGGCCAATAACCAGTCTGCCAATCTAGGTGAAAGAAAAAAAAAAAAGAGTGCTCTGAATAGTATTAAACTTTTTTTAAAATAATGAGTAAATGAATACACACACACACAGAGGAGGGTATATTTGTTCAGAGTAGCTGGGATGGAGATGTGAAAGCCCTGGTATGAAATGTGTTCTCTTGCAGCAAAATAAGCACAAATTGGTAAATGCTCGTCTGAGGCACTGACAGAAATGCTGTTTCCTGCCTGCTGAACCTCAGTGTCCTGTGTGCTGACAGCAGAGCAGGGCAGAGACAAGTACTACTGATTGTGAGGCACCCAAGCACGGCAGTGCTGGGCTAAGGTCCTGCTCTCAGAGCTTCCCAGGTGTCCCCATGGACTGCAAGGCACCTCAGATATCAGGGGCCAACTATGAGGATCCAGATGCAGACCTAGGGCTTTAAGTGACAAAGAGCAGATGGTGAAGGAGCCACTTGTCACTGAGCAGCTTTACGGAGCCCCCAGGGAGCTGCAGCCTGCAGGGGTCCTGCTCCTCTAGCCGGATCCCCTTGGATGTCCTGTCCTGGGAGGGAGGCTCCTTCTGCAGTGATGGGTCATTCCCTGGCTATTCCAGATGAAGAGCATGTGTATCCCCAGGGAGAACTGAGCAGGGGAAGTTCCCACCATTCTTCAAGCGTAACCATCTTTCGGGTGCTGTTATTAAACACTTACTCAGTGTGTTTGGCACTATGTGCAGCTCCACCGCCAGGTTCCCATTTCAAAACCTCGCCCTCATCACCTATGCAGACACTACAGTTTCAGCTCGCCATAAATAATCGAAGAGTTGACTAAAAATGTATTTGCAGATAAATATGAAAGCGTTCTAGTCCCTGGGAAACAGGCATACTAAAAAAAAGTTAGAAAGCTGGGGAGAGGTTAGTATCATCTGGAGTAAGGGATGCAGTTGCATGCAAAGTTTAAAAGGACATTGCCAGGCATTTTTTAATAGCCTCACTGAAAAAAAAAAAAAAAAAAAAGGAATTTAAGAAACTAAAAATTTCATTTCTCATTTATTCTACAGCAATGAAAAGTTTTACTTCAAAGTATGCTTTTTTTGTTGAAAAGGAAAGGAAAAAAAAGCAATTCATCAGAACCAAAATACTCTGATTCAATAAATTATTTTAAACTAGTCCTTCCATCTACAAGGTCAATTGGTGAGGGCAGAGTTAGCACAGTTAACACATATACTATACTACTGAACTGCAAGTCTCCTTGAATGGCATTGAACAATTTTATTTCCTATTCCTCTCTATTCAATTCATTATTACAGTTTCATAATCCTAAAATCAAAAGGGCAACAGCAATCCCCTGTTTTAGTACCTGCTAGAAATATCGCATAAATACCTCTGGTTATTTCTGTTTTGAAGAATGTCAATGAATACTGAATTCCTTAAATAACAGATTAAATATTATGCTTATGGACTGTGACAGCATTTATTTCTGTGGCACTTCATGCCATCTACTGACATTTTAAGTTGCCTCTTTTGCCTCCCCATTCTTCTTTGTTATAGAATTGATCACAAAAGAGAATTAATACCTTACCTACTGCTCAAATTACTTTGCAACTATTTAATGCTTTTCCTAAATTTTAAAACATTTTGAAATCTCCAAATATTTTGTAAATATTTTCTTTACTCAATGTTTTTGAATTTCACTTCAAAAACACTTCCTATATAACCCTAGATGTTGCCACAGAAAAGCAATTTCTGCACTGTGGGACAAGGAAGCATTTTTTCATGTCTAAACTTTCAGCTGACATGCACACTTTTGCCTCAAAAAATGGGCAGGTTAAGACTCCATCCACCAAGAGATGCACTGAAATGAGTAGGATCCCAAAAAATAGTCCCGAAGGTGCATTTGGAGCGAAGTTCAAGAAAGAAAACTTTCCATTAGCCACAATACCTACTGTTTTCTTTAAGCCAGCTCCGTGTAAATAATTCGAAATAGAGATAAAGAAAGATTTTTGTTTTTCTTTTTTTTCAAATTGTTTTGAATTTGAGTGTGTCCTTTTATGGCTCCTTTTCAGTGTGTGAAGCAGCTTTTGGACAACATGCCATTTCTTGAAAGACTGTTATATTACTGTTGTCACTTAACCACTATTGCCAAATTGTACTGAGGCGCTAGAAAATATACAGACCACTGGAAAACAGACTTTAACAAACTTTCTTCTGTTCAGTACACAATCTACTCAGGCACCTTTATTATGGAATACGAGGAAAAATGATATTTTAAAAGTTTGTTTTGATTCTTCTCCCTCCCCTTTTTAAACAATGAACTATACAGAAAAGCTATGGCAATGACTCAGTCTTCCAAATACAGCTGTCAGAAAGGGGTGCCAGCTTTTAAACAGCATCATATATGCGTCAGCAAAAGGAAGAAGAAAGGAAATACATTTTACAAAGGAAATAAAAACAACACTCACTCTATTAAGGTACTGAAACATAAATGTATTTAAATTGCATACAGGGTAAAGTATATAAATATGCATTCTCTTTGCTTCTAGGTGAGGTTTAAGTTTTGCCCTTAAGCACATAGAAATTAATTCTTTTTTAAGTAAACAAAATACTTAGGTTGTTCAGAACGTGTAAGTTTTTCTGGCACCATTTCTTCATTGTTTTCTCTTTCTATTTTTTTTTTCCTATTGAACTGATGTCACACAAATCCACTTTCTCATATTTCTGGGTGACTAGTATTAACACGAACAGAAGTTATTTACTTCTCCTTCAGCATTTTGCCATAAGGTTGCTATTTCTATACTTGGAAATGCTATTTGCAATACAAATTGCAGTGCTATAGGAGTACTTTAATACGTAGTAATCTACAACAAGGATGTTGAAAGTGAAACGACATGTTCTGCTACACTGGTGTTTGTCACAGTGACTTCTGCAAAGACCTTCTCTTATGGGAAGGTCTTCAGTACTCTGATGAGACTCCTTGCAGGTGCTGCAGCACTGAGAAGTCTCTCTTCTCATATCCATCTCCTGTTCTCTCCATCTTGAGGGCAGGAAAGCACTCCCGCATCTCTCTTGGACCATTTGCTGCTCATTTTCACATAGAATCAAATATTAATGGGCTTTAATTAATTTTAAGTTATGAACTCTCCAATTTAGAGACATCTGGGTGAAAGAGACATCTAACTGGTGTCCATGTACTGATTCACAATCAAAGTTCCATTTTCCTTCTGAAAAATCTCAGAGAGCTTCCTGAATTTGGTATTTGAATACCAAATCTTTGGTATTCAAAACTTGGGTGGCTACAAGATTACAGGTGTGTAATGTCCCTTTTAATACTGTGCCCCCGCCACATTCTATCGTGTCATGCTGCTTTTAGCAACAACAGCAGGAAAAAAAAAGATCATGATCCCAGAGCTGAAAGAATAGCTCCCCAGCAAGTATTTCATCACAACACTTTTATAAGCAACGTTACCACATGCAGCTGTGCATTTTCAGACATTTCAATAAGATTAACATGTAGTCACTTAATGTTCTTCTTATTTTTCCTATTTTTCTCTCACATGCATCAGTCAATTAAGCTCGGAAAAAAATGAAGCAAGCAGATTATATCCTGGACAACTAATGGGTGGGGATGTCCATGGGGACCTCCTGTCAAGCCCAACTTAGAAGCAAACATACCACTTACAGAGGTGCAGAGAGGGAGGGCAAGATTTGCATGTAAGGCTATGGCAAAGACAAATAATGGTGTATTGTAAAGAAGAAACTGGAAAATAACCATGGCATCTGACTAGGAACTCTCCAATCTTCTGCTTCTCTCAGTGAAATCTTCTTGCTCTCAGGGTGCTCCCCTGCACTCTCCTACTTCTAAAGAGCAGTGATGATGCATTCAAGATAATTTACACAATTTATCAGGGGATGTATTTTAACAGTCAAAGACTGAAGCAAAGACTATAATGACTACTCATTAAAAGAGAGTGTGAAGCTTTTGGGTTTATGGTGCCCTGTGGATAAATGGGGTTGAGGATGAGCAGAGCAAGAGTGACAGAGAAGTGATGGATCGGGAACCCATGGAACAGTAAGTCATTCCAGTATGAGCCTCACCACACCAGTCAAGGTCCTGAGCTTTCAAGGAATATGCCATTAGCAAATGAATTATGCTTGAATTCAGATATCTGTGAGAACTGAGCAGAAGAGCTTTTTTTTTTTTTTTTTTTTTTTTGGCTTCAGAAAATACAAAGGAGAAACAATGTTTCCAAGAAATTTGCAGAAATTTAGGGAAGGGGATGCACTAAGGCAGCAAGCTGCCAGAAGTCTGTCACATGGGAGACTTCATGAGGTCAAACAGACCTCAGGGTCTGGAGAGGGAGCGGAACAAATGAATGAAACGGGGAATGTGACAGCAAGAAAGAAGTGAACAGGCCAGGAAAACTGTTTGGGAGGCAGCCCTGCATACAGCATAATCTGGCAGACAAATCTCATGTCTTCTACACCCTAAACCTCCGGTCCTCCTCTGCACATCAGTCCTCATGGTCACGTTTTGGTTGTATTTCTCTCTGTAGTTTATACTGGTGCACAGGGGCAGGGAGAAGCTCTTGCTGCGGGACATGTCAATAGATGTTGCTGCACTTCATCCCAGCGCGTCAACATGCAGCAGAGAGGCTTTCTTCACCAAGAGTCTTGCAGGAAGGTCTCCAGAGAGGGACACTTCTCTCCATCTCCTCCCATATTCCTTCATAATGCCCAGAAACATTTTGCTGGGCTGTTCCCACAGCCTTGCTTTTGTCCTGTGCCACAGAAACCCTTTCCCAACAAGTCACGCAGGAATGGCACATTTGCAAGTGCTACCTGCACGTAACACAGCAAGCCTTTCCAAAATCCCCAATTATGTTTGAAAACCTCGGATTGGCAAGAACGTGCTTTAGAAACACTCCGAAAACATTCATTTTTGATGCCTAAGCTGCACTGCTAATATTTAATGGCAAACCAACAGGGAAAATTTGGACAAAAACAGCATTTTGCTTCAAAGCGAAAAGAATTTCTGGCTATAAAACAGGATTGAATTTGAAGAATGGAGCTTTGGGATGCCTCAAAAAAAAAAAAATCACTAAAATAAATATTCTGAATGTGCTATCACTGCTTTTCCTAGATCTGGAGAACCAATTTAGCTATCCTCGTGAGAGACACCAGTTTAAAGTCTGCTTTAAGTGAAAACTTCCTGGCAACATTAAGTAATATTTCCATCATCCTGTATGCACAAGTTTACGTATGTGCGCACATGTGCATATACCAACAAAGATCGCCCCTCGCGATAAGAAATCCCATGGATTTGTTATCATCTTTTTCAATCACACAAAAGGCTTTAGCCCTGTCCCTGCTCACAGAAATACACGCTACTGTCCTCTCTCCACACTCAACTCCGTGTACGACAGAGGCAATTTATTTTAAGACGCAGCAATATTTGGAGATTTCTCCTGCTTTAATAACACTTTTTTAATATACAATATTATTCTTTTTCGCCCTTGAGTATCCCTGGAAGATCCCTGGCACTAAGTCCTGTCTTCGGGCACTTGTTTTTACCGTTTTTTTCTGTAATTCTGCGGGTCGCGAACGCGTTTTGCCACCGCTCCCCCCCCCGCCAACCGCCTCAGGCGCGGCGCTCTGAAGGGAGAGGCGCGGGGCGCAGCGCGCGCGGCGGCCGTTAACGGCCGTTGGCGGCGGCCGTTAACCGCCGCTGGCGGCGCGTGGTTGGGGCGGGAGGGCGCCGGCAGGGCGCAGGGAGGAGGGCGCCGCTTACCCCGTTGGCCGCGGCCATTTGGACGATGACCTCGATGGCCGCCTTGCTGAAGTACCTGCCGTCGCTGCCCACCACCATGGTGCAGCCCTGGCGGTCGCGGAGGTCCACGGAGGAGAGGAGGCTCTGCACGAAGTTTGGCAGGTAGTTGCGCTGGCTCTCGAAGAGCGCCGTGGGCCGCCGCAGGCCCCCGCCGCCCGTGGGCCGCTGGTCCTCGTAGGGCGCCGTCTGCACCGTGAGCACCGGGATGGGGGTGCCCTCCATGGCGGGGCGCGCGCCGCCCGCACGGCCGAGGCTCCGCTGCGGCGCCGCCGCCTCACGCAGCGCCCCCCGGGGCGCTCCCCTCGCCCGGCCGGCGCCGCCGGGGGGCCGGGGCGGGCGGCGAGCGGGGCGCGCCGCCCCTCAGGCCCCCCCTGCTCCTTTCGTCGCTTGCCAGGCCTCTGCCACGAGCGAGCGGCAGCCCCGGCCAAAAATACCCCTGGAAGGCGAAGCCGCGAATTGTGGTGCGCTGCCAGAGATGTAACTGGAGGCTGCTGCGCAGGGGGTGTGCGGGCGCGACACACTTGCTCGTGGGGATCACGCTCTGTCAGCGCTGGAGACGCCCCTCGAGGCGGGCACCCCCGCGGGGGAGGCTGCAGCACGGCCCCGTCTCGCAGGTGAGGACACAACGGGGTTAAAAACCAGGCTGGTTCTTCCACCACCCAGCTCTCGGCAAAGGGAATGTGCTTCGTTTATATAGGAGGGCCTTTGCTCTTTAACGACTTCTGCTGTGGAAGCTCTTGAGTGTCCCATCTGAAAGGATATCATGTTCCTTTCCATCTAGGCAAACCGCCTGTGCTGCAGCACTCGGGGTGTTTTCCACTTCTGAAGTGTGTTACCTACTTAATAGGGATGTGACAAGGCTCAACTGATTGACACTTGTGTTTGTTCTGCTTAAATACAGAGCCTGTAGCACTGACTATTGTAAAGGTGCCTTCTGTTTCCTGGTGTAAACTCTGTTTACAGATGATGGTGACTGTCAAACACCAGCTGAAATTTTCCATCCAAATGGCTTGCTTCACCTAGGTCTCCACATCAATATTTTGCCAGAGCAAATCTGCTGGCTGGAGACATGGAAAAAAAATAGTTGTGCAACCTAGATGTCATTCTTCTACTTCCACAGTATCCCTAGCAAAAATATACACTCGTGCAGAGGATAGGTCCTTTTGTATCTCAATGTGTTCACTTTTGTGAAAGATGGAAGAATCTGTTTATACTCCCCTCAGAAGCATGATGATCTCGGCTCACAGGACATGTCAATTGAGCAACAAGAGGTGACCAGCAAGCGTGAGGTAAATACTTCTGCCTGCAGCATGGACAGGGTGGTCACTGCAGGACTCTGCTGGCAAGGGGTGACACCCTGAAACCGGAGTAACTTGGTCATCCTTTCAGGGCCCTCTCTTTGCACTATGTAGTGATACACAGCAGGGAAAGTGATGCATGTTGGAAACTGTTAACGCACCCCTTGATGACCACTGCAACGCACAAGGCAAGGGCTAACAGCTGAGTTTAAATAAGCTAATTCACTAAGGCAGATCAGGCATTTAGCCCCGTTGAAGAAAGTCAGCCAGAGGCAGAGGGCCAGCACAGATACAGGGAAGCAGTAATCTCTTGATTCCCTTTTGCTTGTCCGTGTAGAACTTAATTTACCATGGCCTGTAGGAGAGCTGGATAAGTACAGCCATTCATGCAGTCATCTTCCTGTGTAGGTGAGCCCTAAGACTCTTCCTTACGTGATGGGCTGGTTTAATAGTCAATCATTTACAAAGAATGGTTGTAAATAAAACATTTTTTCCTTAAGCTAAGTCCCATATTTATATAAGTGAGAAGTTCTCGTGCTTCCATGTTTTGGGACAACTGTAGAAGTACAACAATTGTAATTGCTTGGATTTAAGCACCTATTTAAACCTGTGAGCTAGCTTTTAAATCTGAAATCAAACAAGTAAAAATAATAAAATAAAAACACTGAAGTATTCATTAGAAGTGGTATTTCTGAAAAAAAAAACCCACGTTTACAGGTTTTTGTATTGATTTAGAATGAATTTTAAATAGCTACCTCCCAAAAAATCCTGCTGTTATGGAAATGCCGTTTCTCTCACATTGTTTAAGTAAACAGAGCGCAGTTGCAGATTAAATTGTTAGATCTTAAATAACCTTAGAGATTGAGGCAACTAGGCTGCAATAGTCAGAGCTGAAATGGAGTCAGATAGGTTGTATCTTCCACAGTAAAAAATCCACAAGGAAGGAAGCAACCACAAAGTTTGAAAGCTTTAGAAACAATGGTTAGACTAGATGATCTCTAGAGGTCCCTTCCAACCTTAACCATTATGTAATTCTGTGATAATAACTTACAGGTGCCAAATAATGGAAAACACAGGAGCAAAGTAAGGAACAAAGCAATAGGGAAGTGTTTGCATATTTCCCTGTGGATAGGGGAAACATATGCAGCATTTGGAAGAAAATAAATCTGTTTGCAAAAGCATTTGAACACTGACATTCCTAGGATGGACATATAATAGGAACCATCAGTGACAAGTTCTCAGGACTTTTTGTATTTCCCTATGCATAAACAAAAGTGAAGAACAGAGGAAAAATTTTGTTTTGCAGGCTTTTCATGCAGCATCTTGATATCAGTTCTTCTAGGTGCATCATGGGCTGTAAAACTTTGTTTTTTTGTTTTTGTTGTTTTTTTTTTTTTATTCGAACAGGTTGTGCCTGAGAAATATCTTCAAACACAGCCTCTCTTTTACTGCAACTTCTTTACTACTCAGGTAGAGCTCAGGTTTCCTAAATTCTGCAAAAGAGCAGATTGTATAAAAATAATCATTATATAAAAGTAATCTACAGCCTTCACTCAACACTGAGAAGTGTGAAAAGGTGATTTTGGTAGGCCTGACCATTGTAGCATGAAATCTGACTAAAAATTGCATTTTTAAAATAAAAACTTCAATTCTCAAGTATCCAGATTAGCCCTGTATTAATAAATTTATCCAGGGGCAGCTCTACAAATTCTCTTTCTTACTAATAGAAGTTCCCCAACAAGATCTGTGCTCAGCAAGTCTGACTGAGGAGTTGTTGCGAGGTATTTAGTAGTTATTAAGCTGTGATGATATTACTAGCTTGGAATGTTGTCTTGGACAAAAAAAAAAAAAAGAAAATAAAAAGAAAAGAAAGGAAAAAAGAAGAAAAAAGAGAAAGAAAAATAGCTAAATATATTCTATTATCACCATCGTGTATTGTCAGTATTCTTTTGAAAGGTAAAATCTAACCTAATGGAGTGACAGAATACATGTTATATTTCCATATAAAACAGTTAGCTGTCTGCCTACCAACTTTTCAAATGTAGCTCGACCTGTACTATAGAACTCAGGAACATTTTCAACAATTATTTGATTCATAAGTCATGTTAATCCCTCAGCCTTAAAAAGTTTATCATTACTTATTCGCATTGCACAATTGTCAATGTTAAAGTCAAAAAGTCAGTGTTACTTACTTTAAGATATCTAATTTTTTTCCTTCCTTCCTTCCTTCCTTCCTTCCTTCCTTCCTTCCTTCCTTCCTTCCTTCCTTCCTTCCGTCCTTCCGTCCTTCCGTCCTTCCGTCCTTCCGTCCTTCCTTCTGTCCTCACCACTTAAAGGTTTAAAAATCATTATTAAAGGAAATAAAACTGAAAGATTTTGAGATATATTGACTTACCTGTTGCGTTTTTTTTTGTTTGAAACTAAAATTTTGTTTGTTTGTTTGTTTCAATGATCCCCGATATAAATTGTTTAGAAAAAGCAGGGAAAGTGTATCTTTATGGTTTTATAAGAAAAATAGTTCCCTTGTAACAGAACTTTACTAAGAGACAGTATGATCTGTTAGATATTACATCTCAGTGTTTTTGGTTTTATTTGTTTGTTTTTCGGTAGTATTTTTAATCACCAGAAAAGGCTGTAAGTTTCACCACAGCTGTACTTTTGTAATTAATATGAAACAGCTATTGTTCTACGGAACATTTTCACACAAACCTAAATGCAAATTGATTTACAGAAGCCAGACAGCAAAAGTTTCCTAAGAACTCGTTTCTTGTAATCAACAACAATTAATTAAGTGTTGTATCAGCAACTCATTGTGTTGTACAAATTAGGAGTAAGTTACTAAATTGCCTCTCACTGTAGATTAAGTGAGGGAGAGGAAGGAAGGGAGGGAGGCAGAGAGGAAGATCATTAACCACTAATCTATCAAAGAAAGCAACATTTTATTAAAAATTATCCCCTAAGTGCCAAAAAATCTGCTGAAAGTTTATTCCTATAGTTTCCTATATAATTCTGAGAAGATTAGAATAAACACTGCATTAAAAACTTTCACTTCTTTGGATATCGTAATCACCAGTAATATTTCATTTCCCACCTCTACTAACAGATGAATTGTCATTCTAATATTCAGCAAGTAATTTCATAGGAATTCAAGGTGGCTTAAGCAAGTGTCTATGAGGTGTCACTTAGGTTATGCAAACCAGGTCCTGCCAATGTGGAGAGCCTGTCCATGGACCCAAACCCTGACATTGTGCCAGCTCTCCTCCTGCAGCAGCTCAGCAGTCCCACTGGCCTCCTTGAGGCTGCCAGGAGTGCGGTGAGCAGGGGAAATAGCTGACGCGCTTAATTCTACTACCACCTTAACAGCAGTTTGACGTGTCGCTCACCAACGTGGCAGAGAGGACAAAATTCAGTGTCTGCGAGTCATGGTAAGCCCCCTTGCCAGTCCTGCAAGAGGGTGAGCAAGGCTTGTCCTCCAAGTAGAGCTCATCACCACAGGGACCATCATTCTACTTACATAAGGAGTTGCTCAGGTCTTTCACCTGTTACATACTCTTTTTTAAGGGCAGAAGGTATCAAGGTGTGTTGAAATCCTACTGCATTTATTAAGCAGCTCTGTAGTGCACTGCTCTAGAAGAACACTGTGTGACAATAGGCAATCCTGAGTGTCTGAAATCCAGGATATGTAGGACTTGCTTCAGTGCAAGCTACAGCTTCTTATTAGGCAGCCTGCCTGGATTAGCACTTGGGAGAACAATAAAATCTAATAAATAGAATTTATTAGAATTCTGGAATAAATGCTTCACTGATAATAAGACTATAAATGCTATATGATTTGAAGTTTTCCTAGCAACCCTTTTAACAGCTGCTATGTTCAGTCATTCAAATAAAACTATAAAATGTATTCAATATTTTGGGTGTGTATCAACCACCAGCATTAATAGTTAGCACGTTTGAGGTGGATATCTTCCAGGGTGATATTCAGCATTTTTTTTGCTTGGGTCCATTTTGGCATTTATATCTAGATGTGAGATTATATTTTCCTCCATGTCAATTAAGAAATTAATAGCAGGAAGTTCAGTATAGTGTGCTGAACCACTGGAACATGGGATGCCTGTGGTTTAATTATGCGCAGATTGGGAAGCCAGCTGGCACAAGGTTCAAAACAGATATGATGAGACTAAGGAAGGGCTATCGTCAGGACAAGACCAATGCTGTATTGTCTGTTCTTCTCTCATGGAGGGAGAAGGCAGCAGGAGAGGACACTGTGCAGTAGGTTCCCTCTTCTAATGCCTTAAGTCTAGCTCTGTGCTGTTAGTGATAACAACAGATATAGGTGCTATATCAAATCCCCAAGATGTCTGAGGTAGATCCTAGGCAGTTTGCTTACAAAATCTGGAAATTTATTTAAGTGCTCTAAAACATTAATATTCTCAAATATTAGCACTTTTTAATTAACTAGTTAAATCCCATGCTTAGGAACTGACAGATTATCAGAGTCCATCATAAGCCCTGCACCTACATATTCCTGAAGGGATTTGTCTTTTCTCTGTGGAGGTGTTTATTATGGAGAGATGCTTCACATCCTTTAAGCTGACCACTGTCAGAAGATTCGTATTTTTCTTTCTAATTGCAGAGCAGTGTGCCAGATAAACTTATTGCATGTAAAAATCATATGTGAAACCTCCTCTGTCTTGCTACGCTACGTGACAGAGAGATGTTCTACTGAAGAACCTGTTTGTGCTGCCAAGTAGGCAACGTGTCACCAAGTCCTGATTTGGCAGGAGCTGACTCTGAGTACGCCGTGGAAGCTTCCACTGCCATTTATGGCTATTTACCGTTTATATCACGAGTAAAGACTGGAAAGATTTGTTTATATGGCTAGCTTTTTGCATGCCCTGTGCAAGGGACAAATCAAAAACTGCAAATAAACTTTACTGCAAAAGATATGGAGACTTTAATTTCCAGAGGTGCAAGAAAGAGACCCTACAACTGCAGCCAGCGGGAATGACACAAGAGTCAGCCCTCCAAACTGTGTTGCTGTCTATAACCATGGAAAAAATGTGCTTTGCAGATAGTGCTAACCAAACAGCCTCTTTGACATGATAATCCCATCAAAATCTTGATCTGAAGTTCACTCCTGATAAACTGACATATCCTCAGTATATATTCATGTTTTTCATTTAAATTATTAAATAAAAACAAAATATCAGCTGGAAATCAGTGATTTGGTCCTGGCTGCTGCACAATGGTAAAACAGAGGTGAAACATTTACTTTCAGATTTGTGCTGGATGTCTCCTTGGCCTGCACTCTCCAGGGATGCTAATAGGGAAAATACAGAAAATACTCTTTTTTTCTTACCACATTCACAGGTTTCTGCATGAACCAAGCGATTGAGGTTGTATGCAGACATAGGATACATCAAATTAAAAAGAGAAGAATTTCTTCCATCAAGTCAAAGCAGATGAGAAGTTTAAAAAATCAGAAAAGGAAACATACTACTTCTCAAGGAAAATAGCAAATTTGACGTTATTTTTCTGTTATATTTACTGGCTTCTACAATGATACTCCCAGGCAGGAAAAGAAAGGGGTCATCTTGCCTGGAGACAGGCAAAAACCTGCTCTTAGTCACAATCACTCTGACTCTCTGATAAGAACCAAAGACTTAAAGCTATGTAGGAATACGGTCCCCCTGTCCCCCCCAAAAAAAATATAGAAAAAAAAAGAGGAAAAACAGTTCACTGGAATGCCAAAGGGCATTTTTGCATTTTAATCGTAGCTTACTTTTTGCTTTTGTAGAAGGTGCTGTATCATTAAGTTCCTCAGTTTGCCTACAGACTTCACTGGCCTTTTAGAAAGTTCTGTAAGAACTAAGGATGAAAAAGCCACCAAATTTGAAGAAAGAATCTTAGGAAAAATTCTGCCTCTTCTGTCTCCTGTTTCTGGCCCTGCTGCCTAGGGAACACTACTGAGCAAAAAACTTGGGATTTTTCTTAAGAGAAAATCTCTTCTTAAGAGAAAAATCTCTTTTCTTTCATGTGAATGGTGAAATAATTTTTAGCATACATACTCTAAACAGCTAGATGACAGATTGATTTTCCCAGCAAGATTATTTTATCTTCTGACTTTAACTGATGTCAAGAAGAATGATTTCTTGCAGTAATATATGGCATGTGCTGAACTGCTTCAGATTCTTTTGTTACATCTTTGACTGCTTCTTTGGCCACTAATGAGGCCAAAATTAGACAATAAAACAGTAGTGATGTTTTTTTTACTCCTTTTATTTCGCATAGGTTAAAGCAATACAGAAGAAACATGGACTCAGAACTCCAAAAAAATCAGACTGACAAAAGGAGTAACCAGAGAAATTACACAGAACCACAGAAAAAGCCATCTTGCTGCCAGCTTGAGAAGGGAGATCCTGGCCCTATTCTTCAGCAAGCTTTGTAAGGCACTCCATGGCAAATATCCATTGGACACTTCACACAAATTATCCTTTCTCTTTTGGTGGTTCCTGTTCTTGGGCCAGCTTTCATGTGGCCTTGGATAAATCCAAGGTAACTCCAGACTTTCTAATTTAGATGCTATGCAGGCAACAGTGGATCAGACTTCGTAGTCCCTGGAAAGTGAGCGTAGCTCTGTGTGTGCTTATAATAAGTTAACTAAAAATAAAATAATACAGAAGTATTAATTAAGAATGCTAATTAAGACATTTCCATTCACATTTTCAGAGAAATTTAGATTACATATCTACTATTTCTGTGAATGCAAAGCCTCAGGAAAAAATATAAAATTTACAGTTCTCTTCATAGGAGAACTGTGGGGCCAAACTGATATTTGCAGTGGGGTTGGAACTACTCACGTTAATGCATCAAGAGCTGTGTTGTGTGCAAGGAGCTGTGAGCTCCTCCATGGAGTAGTGCAGCCAACGAGGATCTTTCAGCTTAAATGGCAGATAGGGGATGAAAGTGACCTTTGTAGTAACTGCAGGAGTAATTCCTTAAATTCCTGCCCTCTACCTAAACATTCATTTTGCATCAACAGCCCATATCTAGATGGGAGTCTTCAGAGAATACTGCTGCAGGAAGAAAGATCGCTATGGACCTGGCTCAGGTGAGAAGTTTGTTTTATTTAAACCACTGAGAGACCTGCCTCAGGTAAGAAGCTTGTTTTATTTAAGCCATTGTGCTTTTTAGAAGCTAATATGTTGCTTTATTTCGTCAATCTAGAATTACTAGTTCTTTTTCCCAGGAAGCTAAACCTGCATAAGAACCCTCATAGCTGTTTTTACACACACCTTTCAGTGAGGGTGATGACTGGACATGCTCTTCCTGGCCCTTGCCTTTTACTTCAAATTGTGGCTTTGGTGCCAATTCCCAGTTTCTTTCCCATTCCCACTGGTCCAATAGCTTGTGCATTAATCGGCAAATGACTTCCCAAAATGGTTATTTCCTGGAATTTTCAGACTTCCAATTTCTTTTTTAGCATAAATATGTATTTAGAAATAAATAAACATTTAGATAAATTGGTGTTCTCTTTTGGTTTTGCCAATAACCCAGATCATTACAAGGGGACTTTGAGAGATTCACAAGTGAATCCTCTCCTTAGCAGTATTTCTTAATCAGTGTTATGTTATGGCATAACATCTTTTTGTTTCCACGCTATGCTTTTCCAAGATTGCTATCTGCATGCTTTACCTTTTTTGCTGAAGCTTTTTGTAGAACACAGAATCCAGATCTAAACCTAAAGATATGATTTGCCACTGCCTCCCTGCACGGCATGAACATGACCTAATACCTTATGTTTTAAAAGTCTTACCCATTTGATGCCATAAGCTTTGGCTGTACATTTTCTCATTTTTTATATATACATACATATTTTAATTATTTCTCTGTTGAAATGTACTGAGGAAATAGTGGTTTTCTGGTCTTTTAAAAATCCTACAAAAGTGATTATCATTTTTTTCAATGGGTTATAGTGTTCAAATTAGACAATTAAAGTTACCCTTCCTAAGGTGTCTCTCCACAATTACAGATCACTCACATCACATCAGGCACCCTGATGCGATTCCGTCTTGCAGCGTTGCCAGTTAAGTCCTTCAGAAAAAAAAAAAAAAAAAAAAAAAAAAAAAAGACACATTTTCTTTTAGAAAAAGTGGAAAACATTTAGTAGAAAACAAAATTTCTCTGGTATCATAAATATCAGTAAGAGGACGCAGTTTTTTCCTTCCTCATAATTCCTAGCCTTTACAATTAGTGAAAGGGCATAAAAGTGGAAATCGATACAGAATTTCCAAGGAGAAACCCCTAACAAGCGCAGTGGTTGCAGTGCCTGGATCTAACGGGTGCTTGTCGCTAGATGGCAGCAAATACCAGTTTTCTGCAGCATTACCTTTTCCCCAGATAGTGAAATTTTGCTAAAGGGAAAAAAAGATGAGAGAAATCCTATGCTCATCTAAATGGGCAGCTAGGATACGTACGTGTACAAAACAACCTCTGCTTCCTTTGGAGACAACAGCTAAACTGCTCTCTAAATAAAAGTTACTCTTTGGGCTGTAAATCCTTTTTTCCTCCTTCATCCTAGGTGTCACACTGCTTTGTGGTCACTTTTCTCTGAGATTTAGGGCTTTCTTCTTGGCTGCACACCATAACTTCTGAAATTCTGTAATTTATTACTTTTTATTATTTTATTTACTATTACTTTATTTTATTATATTTACTGAGGCTGTGTCCAAATCATGTTACAAATTATGTGGCTACCCTGTCTGGGGCAAGGGCAGGAGGAAAAGATGTAAGAGGTGAAACAAGAGCTACCTGAGGGAGAAGTGAGAAGACAATAGTGTCGAGCTGCTCACAGTGATAGTTCAGATGAGCTGGGAGGAGAAAATGATGTTGCACACATCCACAATAAAAATCCAGCAGACACTGGTTTTGCTGTAGAATTAACTGGTCTTTGAACTAGATTTTCAGATGGTCCTGAAGATACAAGTGTGGAGAGGATGCCCCATATGCCAGGAGAGCAACCACTTTGGTCACCCTCACCCTGAGTGGGGCTCAAAGCCAGCACGGGATGGACCAGCACCTGGGAGGCTAGGACAGACAATCTTAACGTATTAACTCAGGGCAATCCCATAAGCTCCAAGATTGCTATGTAGCTCGTGGAGCAACCAAAGCTCTTAAACCACTTGGTTTCAGTTGGGTGATTTCAGAAAACTAAATGCCTCAGACGATAGTAGCAAATGGTGCTGTGGGTGGTCTGCAGAGATAGATGACACTGCTGTTTATTTTCAGATTAACAAGGTCTACAACAACACACAACACAGAAAATGTGAGGTAGAGAATGAGTTTGCTTTGAAATGGTGATTGGCTGTAGATTTGTGTGGGGCTGCTGCGTGTGCATGGTGGCACAGAGAGGTGATCAAACCCCACCGATCAAACCTGCGGCTATGTTTCATGCTTTATTAATCTCCCAGTTTTAATCTGGGTTCTGTTCCTTGAAGGAGCGGATCCTTAACACAGCTGCCAAGATGGCAGCACAAGAAAAGCAAATCATTTCCCTAGGGGCAGCCTTTCTCAGAGCCTCTGCCATGTACATGTTCTTGTGGTGTGAAACAAGCAGAAGACTTAGTGCCTACACAACCAGAAAAAGTCCTTTCAATACAGATACACAAGAGAATCAGTCTCCCTCCAAGGGAAGGACATAGAGCCTTTGGCTGTGTTACAAATGCTGGTGGTATGAACAGAGCCCACCAGGACTGGGTAGCAGCACAAGCTGACCGTCAGCAAGCACCAGGACAGGGACAGCCTTCTGGTGGTGACAGTTTTCTGTGCTAGCGGGTCTCTGAAGACACATGGGAGGAAACTGAACCATTTACAGGAAAAAGCTGCACGGGCCCACTGCAGCTGCGGAGTGACAGCAAGACGTGCCACGGAGACCCACGGACTCCCAGCTGCAGAGGTGCACATCGAGAAAGAGAGATGGGATGGAACAGGCAGTGTCGCTACCAAGCAAAACATGGAATTATGTCTTCTGCTCACAAGGAGCTTGCAGAGATACAGTAGTTCCCATCAAAACCCACCTGATGAGAAGAAACAGAGCTCTGGAAAAGCAGCTTTAGGGGTAGTCAGTTTCTTCTACTGCTTTGGACGCGCTGTTATAAGCGGATAAGAGGAATAATGCACTGTTTCCTCAGTCTGTGAGCTGGTGAAACTTACAGTTCCATTACAGTCCATGGGTAATCTGTATTGGAATAGGTGGTTGAGAAAATAAGAACTACACATTTGAATATAACAGTATGAATAATGCATCATGGTTTGTTTGCTTATGACACATGCCTCAAGTTAACGTTACATCTCTGAAGATCATTGACAAATGGAAAAAGAATAATCATTTGGGGACTCCAGAGATGAATGCTTCTGAAGGTATAAAAGATCTTTAATTACATGAGGTGCACCCTACGAAGTATTTTATTGCTTTGTCTGTGGAGAGTGAAATGTATCACCAGAAATAAAACAGGTGTTTCACTCACATAGTCTGTCATAACTCAGTCTTCAAAATGATGACAATCACTTGATAAATTTTCCTAACAGACTGGGTGTCACTTATGCAACTGAAAATATTTAAATTTGTGAGAACAGATACTAGCTTTCCAAATTAACTAATATGTAACTGAGGCAAACTGACAAACTTGCCACATCAACAAATACACAACAAATACACTCATCTAACTCCAGTGACACCACTGCTCTTCTAGAAGTAGCAGGGTAAATAGATGATTCTTATCTTGCTTTGGTTTGTAGGAAAAACATTCATAAACTTCTACCCACGGGGAGATGAAAACTGCTATCTTATTGGACATATTTAACTTATTATTTCATACACTAATCAGATGTGCACCAACCCTGGCAGTGAGATTAGCAGTTATCTTCTTCCTCAGCTCTAGAAACAAATTCCAATTGTCTCCTTAACCTAATTTCTGCTAGTATAAGCAGAAAGAGTATCACTAATCATAAAATGCTGTCCTTCAGTCTGGTGAATGGATCTTTTATGACAGATGATATACCATGCGCTTGAAAACAAACTTCCATTTATTCAGACAGACCAGCACTCATCGGTGAAGCACTAAGCACTCCATTCTTCAGATTATCTTTTTTTTTCTTTCCATCATCTAACATTCATGCATATGCTCTCATTTAGAGTTTCCTGGGATGGATGTTCACAAATCACAAAGCAAGTGAAAAGAGATTTTAAGATAGTTTAATAGTAAGCATTAAATACATTTTACTATGATTGTATTACTGGCAATAATCATCAGTAATTGATTTCCAGTTGTAAAAAAGAGCAGGAGGAAGTACTACATTTTTGTGTTTAACAGATACTTCTTTTGTAATACTTTGTGGCCTCTTTCCCCATGCAGTATAAACAAAAGTCTTTTATTTATCTGTTTTTCTGGAGAGCTAAATCCAAAATGGCAGGATTCACTCTGATTCCAGACTGTAAAAGCTGATCTTTAAGCTCCAGGCGAGCTGGAACTTGTAAGAAGACTTAAGAGTTTAACCGTTGTGTAACCTGCACAAGCTACTGTACCGCATGTCAGTCAGTCCATTTCATCATTAAAAAAAAACTTGCAGTGTTAAGACCTTCCATCTTCCTGTAGTATAATGTCAACTATTTCCCAGCTTCCCTGTCACAGTGGCTATGAACACTTCTTTGAGGATCTCCTTATCCAAGTTTCTGCCTGTAAAGAGAACAAAATCGGCTTGTTATATTTTACAGTGTGTTACAAAAATGCAGGCAAATAGGAACCCGCAAGTATTCTCACTGCAGAAATGGTATGCTATACCACTGTGTGAAAATACAGCCTTATGAATACTATCCTGTAGATAATAGGTAACTTCGTATTTTTAAGGAGCAATATAGCAGAATTTCTTGCTGTATGATTAAGGAAAAGAAGTAAAAGCTTTTTTTGTTTTTGGTTTTGTCATTAAAAACAGTCAACCTGAAGCAGAGAGTAACAAACAGGAAATAAAGATTCTGCAGCCTTAGTATTACAAGCTTTTCAGAAATAAATGAGCTTTTATGTGTTTTAATAGCTTGAGCACTTTTCTTACAGTCTATTTCTATCAGCTGTAATGCAAGACCTCAGGAAGTCCTCACAGATAACCTCTGGCAGAAGCAAATATGTATTCATATATTCACCACTGTTGCTCTGGCTATTTTAGGCTGGTCGTTTTCCACTGGACATATCAGGATTCTGATGAAAAAAACATCTACTTAAAGTCAAACTACGGAATTTGTGATTTCCTCTTACCTATTAGAACCAGTCTATTTGTTCTCTTTTCATCTTCTTTCCAGACAACTGACGTCTCTTCCAGATCATAGAGTTCATGGACACCTTGAACTATCACCTGATGAGATTTGCCTTGAATAGATACCAGTCCCTTATCAGAAAAATAATTGTTAGCATAAACAAACTTTTAAAAATGCAATACAAAATGGGAAAAAAAACCCCAAACCATGAAACAGCAAGAAAAAAAAAAAAAAGATGGTGACTATAAATCAGTTAATCAAAACAGCAATGTAGTGTGACCGCTATGACTCCTTATATCCCTTCTCACGTCTCCTTCCTCTGTTTTAAACGTCAGTTACTGTTCTGACCCAGACTGTCTTCTGTTCCTCACTGGGATGACACATAGTACAGTATGTCTAAGCAGAATAAAGTGCATCTACTACTACTGTGACACTTCTAGTGTATACATGACATATGCATCTATGACAGAACAGTTGCCTATAAAAAGATGATGTCAAACAAGCACAAATGACTGATTTCAGATTATTCTGATTAAGTTCTCATGCTTAAAGTTTTTACTATTCTTGGACAAAACCTCCAAGTATCAGATCCAGAACAAACATTTGTGACTAGCAACAGAATAAAAGGGATTACTGTCAAACTGCACCCATGAACCCACATACCAAAAGTTGTGTTAAAAGAGTTTTCATCACTTGATGTAAAACTTTATAAAATATTCTAGTGGAACA